TGTGTTTGTGTGTGTGTGAATTATTTGTGTGTTGTACAGTTGTTGTGTATGTATGTGTGTGTTTATTTGTATGTTTGTTGTATCAGTTGTTGTTGTGTATGTGTGTGTGTGTGTATGTGTGTGTGTGTGTTTATTTGTGTGTGTGTTGCATCAACTGTTGTGTGTAGTTCAAGGGTACTGTGACTAGCACGACTGTTTCTGGCTGTGCTGCTACACGCCGGACAGCAGCGAGAAAGATTTTATATTTGTAAAATGAGCATATTAATATAAGTATATTATATATACATGCATATATAAAAGTGTATACATGAAACGTACCTGGGTTCTGTCGGTGTAGCGGTTATGGTCTCTTTGTCCCTCAAGTATTATCCTCCCTTCCTTGTGTACAAAGGAAACCCCAGTGTATCCACTCGAGTTTCTCCAGACCTGCCGTACTAGTACTCTCAATAAATTGTAGCTCTCCCACCCATTTGGGGGCTTGGGGGGGGGGGGGTTGCCCAATGAAGTATCCCAATCTGATTTGCATAAAATCTGAATTTTTTCCTGTCCTGAATTCAGTTTTTGTCAGGTCGTATGGTGGTAATAAATGACATGGAAATACACGCTTTTAATTTAAAATTGTGTTTGCTTGCTCTATTTACTCTGCTCGTCGCAAGTGATGTAAAAATACACGCATTTATATTTGTGTGTAGTTGCAGTTCATGTTCATTTGCTTTCCCCAGACCCCTTTAAAAAAAAAAAAAAAAGAAATAGACTGTTACTGTTTAGGAGGATTTGGAGAAAAAGTATGTTTGTACATATGGAGTGGTTGGCAGGTCTGGTCTGACTGACGGAATAGCTTTAGGCGCATATTGCCACTCCCTCCAGTATTGTTATACACAAGTTGTTACTGAATGTGGTTTTTTTGTGGGCGGTTGGTAGGTGCTCAAGTCTGGTTTGCAGCAGTTTTTACTCCTTCATTCTCCTATCAAACATCTATGGTTCTTTATCTTAATCTCTCCTTTTCTTTGAATGTTACTCTCTCGTAACTCCTCTGATCTTTTCAGCACTTTTTTAAATGACCTTTTTGTGTCTGAAGTGCTGTAAAACTCTTCCTAAGGTTTCCTTTGTTGTTGCTATGTTGAAGGAACTGGCTGGAGTGACAGGTCCCATCTTCCCGTCTTTTCCCCCAGGAGTTTGAGGATTTGTTTGTGGTTTTTCTGGTGTGATTTTGCATTTTTGTGTGTGAGCGTTTGTGTGCGTGTGTGTGTGTGTGTGTGAGCGAGTGAGTGTGTGTGTGTATGTGTCTGTGTGTGTGTGTAT